GTCTGATTCAGTATAAGGCAGCTTCCTGTGATTTGTTTTATTTTATTTTTAATGTCAGCCACTTCTTTACCAGTTCCTTCTTATAAATACATCTGTGTGGTGAAAAGCACCATCAAGCCGAAACCAGCTTATAAGAACCCCGTAGGGTTTTCAAGGCAAGAAACATTCAGAGGTGGTTTGCCATTGCCTGCCTCTGTGTAGCAACCCAGGACTTCTTTGGCAGTCTCCCGTCCAAATACTAACCAGGGCCGGCCCTGCTTAGCTTATGAGATCTGATGAAATCAGGGTAGCCTGGGCCATCCAGGTCAGTGGAAATGCATCTATACCCCAACTTTAAAGTTATATATGAAATTTAGTCGTAATTCTCCTTTGGAAGTACAGATCCATTGGTTTGGATCCAGACCCCCTTTCCACTCAACCTTTTTCAATTCCCCTCCTTAGCACAGCCCCCGTCCCACATAGCTTTTGTCCATTCAGGTCCCATGGTAGCTTTTTTGCTGCCCCCCAAAACTGGCTGGATCCAACCCATTGAGTGGAATTCATTCCCATGGTTTTTCCGTCAAAAAACAGAGTACAATAAATATTTTGATGAACAGCTTTCAAAGTTAAACACACGTGTAAGGGTTTCTAATCAGGCCACACCTATGATTTCGTACAGCTTTCAGAAAATAAATAGGACAAGAAGCCGGCTTGCAACTGACTGGGCAAGCATTTGTTCTCTACGCTCGGTTACCTTTCCCCCCAAATCTTTTAGCAGACAGTTAATTGGAGCACAACAATCAATGCACATTGCAAATGTAACAGAATTTTTTAAAAAAAAAATGGTTGGCAAAACATTATTTCCAGATTCTTGGATACAGTCACAGCAAATGGATGGCTTTCCAGTTCACTTCTCCTTAATTGCTCCTGCAGTTTAAAAGAACCGGATTGTCACACTTGTGCCTTTAAGGTTACCACAAATTGTGTGGGCATGATCCTTTCTTTGCAGCACCATAAATAAATAACTTCCAAAATATTCCCATTCACAGGCCAGGGTGCTGTGAATCCAACCTTGCAAGTTAAGATTGACTTCAGTGGACTTAGAAGAGTCTAATTCTGATTTGGGTTACTCAAAGGCTGCCCTGTTCACTTGCGATGAAGTTGTTACAAAATGGAAAGGTGTGCATAGAGCTTTGTCTCAAATGGAATGGGTATGTGCAAACTGCAATAAAAAGGCAAGTCGCCTGTGAGAAATTATTCCTATGGGTTGCTTTTAGAAGAGGTCCTTAAGCTCGTTTAGAAGGACGTCAAAGGAAAATAGACATAAACAAGGGGGGACCCGCGATACTCGC